CATGCACTTTCTGCAACAACTTCTCCAGACTATTCTTGAAGTGGCCCATTCCGTCTTCGAATCGGCTCATTAAGACCGCAACAACCAAAAAGCAAGGAGCGAACTCTCTCGCAGCAGGACAACGGTCTTCGTTTCTCGTATTGTAAGTGCTCCTGTTGTCTTTTTACCGAGGCGGCTCACCAGAAGTACGCCGTGATGTCGTTGCAGATGACGAGGCTCGCGGGAAAGAAAAACCAAAATATGCCGTTGAAAATATTGTGCGCCACGAACTTGACCTGGGCTACGATCATGCAGATCGTTACAATCGTCCACGTTAACTGCCCAACCTGGCAATATGTTGATATGCGACGATGTGGAGCGACGGAAACGATCAGGAAACGAAACACTGTAACAAGCACCGACTACCACAATGACGTAACAAACACCGGCGACTATAACGACTGCGGGTCCAAACAGCAACGGGTACGGCGAGGACGGATCCCTCATCGAAAAAAGTGATTGAGCACGGGGAAAAAACAAGTCAATCCTCATACACCTGCCGAGGCCACTATGTAGCAGAAGGCACCGTTGGTAAGAGCGACAGGGAAGTATCAAACTGCAAGCCTACAAGCTACATAATGAGCAGGTATCAGTTTGACACGCGGACATCCCGCAACAACGATTCACCAACTAGCAGAGTAGACATTCCAGAACACAGGATGCAGAGGAATAGGCGGCGGCCGCCTCCGACATGTCAACTTTTTTGCGGCAACTTTCTGTTTCCGTGGCACTTTCAGTATTTGCTACAGCCCACCGAAAGGGCTCTTCGTTCCGGGTATGATCGACTGATGCAACACAAACAAAAAAAACGCAATTGACGGTAGAAAAAACAGGGATGATGCCGACAACGACCCTCAGCAGCTAGACACACGACGCCCCCACAAGAGCGAAACGAGTCGCAGAACGGACAGAAAAATCCCCCGAGCTTATCTCTTCTCCGCCTCTCTCTCTCGACAAGTGCGTTCCCAAATCGCAGTGCTGATAGTCGAATTTGAACACCGTCGGAGACCGAAAGTGCAAGGACTTTGTGGGGGTTATGACCCGACTACATTTGTGTCGTCCCTAAGACCACCGACCACACTCGCGTATCTAAACCTTTTGAGGACGAGAACACGGGAGATTTGAAGGTGCGTAGTAGGGTGTCCGAGAGGAGTGAGCCGTGAAGCAAACAACAGCAACACCCAACAAAATATAACGTTCGTCATCACCTGATATTTGTACAGACCCTTCTTGAGAGTAAGCACCGAAACAACGAACACGCAGCAGTAGGCGATGAAGGAGAGCCACGCGTTGAACATCGTGATGTGGCTGAGCCACAGCAGGGCCCTGTGCTTGAGCACGAATTCGTGCAGGAAGTCCCCGTAGGTGTAGAAGATGGCCACCACGAACCAGGACCACTGCAGGGTGCGGAAGAGAGGCATGTCTCGCTCCTTGGCCGCGCTGTAGCGCACGCTGACCATCTCTTTGAAAACGCACGCCTTTCCCGTTTTTTGTGACCGTTAGGATGAGGGGGGGGGAAG